TAAATATTAATTTTAGTCTTAACTCAAGACAGGAAGGTGCTAGCTGCATGAAATTTGAACACCGTACATGTGGGAAGACGTGTAACAATTTGGCTGTCAAAACACCTTAACCAGTCATAACATACAGTTAAAGCTTGATGGAAACAGAAACCAAGAAAGTGGTAAAACACAACTTACATTTGCATGTGATAGAAGGTAACATGTATGGCACAATTAAAGCAACCAAATCTAAAATACAGATAAAAGACATACCGTATTTATTCGTGTAGAATATGATCTCATGTATAATACGACCCGGCCTTTTTTGAGCTTAAAAAGCATAAAAAATTTAATCCTCAAACTACCTCCAATTTCATACAGACTTCAAGATTTTTCATCCTTTGCAGTCTTTATACATATCAGTAAAATGATCATTGGGCTGTTCATTTTATTTTAACAACATTTGTACTAAAAGGTATTTTGACAACAAATATATATCAGCTGTAGCAGCATCATATGAGATCTGGCATTTTACACATTGTCCACCAGGAGGCACCAACATAAAAGTCAGAGCATCACATGAGATTTGGGCCATCTTGTGGGAGAAAAGCAGATTACGTCCTACTCGTGAGCGCCCCCTCTGGTGGGGAAACATTTTTCAGGGATACAAACATTTTCAGAACACCGGTAGACGGCAGCCATTACAGACGAACATGTGTTTGTTGTTGTTAGAGGAGCGGCTCGGTCATATGCTAATGTTATTAGTTCGTTATCATTACTGAGCTGCAGGACTGCTTTTTCCCCCGTTTTCCACATCATGTCGCCTGCCTGGATCTGTTATTATCTCGCTCTGAAACACAGAGGAGTGTCAGAGGTAAGCTCGTTTCAACTGCTTTTTACGACACGGTCTCATTTCCGGACTCAGGCATTTTGTGAATGAAGCCGATATTTTAGTTAAAATACAAAAGTAAAAATATTTATCCGAGTATAGTACTACCCCCCAACTTTCTGGATGATTTTATGGATTAAATTTTACGTATTATACTTGAATAAATACGGTATTTGTAACATGCACAAAAAAAGAGGTAAGCTTGGTGCAGGGTCATCGTCAACAAGATGACGGCATAACTTCAAGTGTTATTCAAGTCATCTGTTCAAAATTCCCACAATCACAATATACAATATGATGTTATAAAATCGCACTGTCAGTTGTTCCTAATATCGTGCAGCACTACTAATGTATTAATACGTGTGTATCTAAAAAGGCTAAAATAGTGAAGTGATAACCAACCAAGCTGTATTTTAACTCCGATTTCAAGTTTATATAGTAGTCACAAATGGCTCATTTTCATTGCATAACTTCAACCAAGTTATGAAATTGTGATTGAGTGTTTTTCTAAACAGAAAAGCCATGGCTCACAGTGTCTCTGTATTGTTGTTCTGCATGATCACCATAACTGCAAAGTGGAAGTTAAGTCATCATCAGTTGACCCAGAAATAAATACAGTGCATTGTAAATATGTAAAATCACCTGTAAAGACTAATTATCATTAGCCATAAACCTCCAGTCTCAGCACTGGTACAGATCTGTTGATGAATGCAGATAAAAGCACTAATTGAATATAATTATGGGTAAAACAAACAGGGCATTGCTGGTAAAGAGCTATTGACACACCCCTTTCAGCCCATCTCTGAGCTGCAATAAATGTCTTCAGCTCAGCTCCCCTGCAGCATGCACATCTCCAGGCGAATACAGTAGCTGGCTGGGCGTCCTGCTCTCCTGCCTTCTTGGCATCACTGCATCAACCCAGAGAAAAGTGTCAGTGCATCCACAGAGTGAGCTACAACTGAGCAGCAGTGCTGGCCAAGAGATGTCGAGCTTTCGCAAGGAGGAGGGAGGATTATTTTCTAATGGCTGTGGAGTGGCGGTTCACGTGATGTATGGAGGATAAAACTGCTACTGTAATGCAAAGATGCTCTGAGTTGGCGTGATTTGGTTCAGCAGTATGAATCCTCAATAAGACAACAAGAAGCACTGATTTTACCTGGAGAGAAGAAATTGTTGCTGCCCATCAGTCTGGGACAGGGTTATAAGACCATTTCTAAATAATTAGGAGTCTAAAGGTTTACAGAAAGGAAGATGAAGACAGCACATCAGCTCAAACACCTTATATCAACTGTCAAGCAGGTTAGTGGAGTGGTGTTGATCTGGGCCTGTTTGCGGCACAGGACCTGAGCTGAACATGAAATCTTCTGTTCACCAGCTCCACAACAATGAGAGAGGCTCATATAAAGTCAGCCAGAAAACGACGACTTCAGGTTCTTGAAGCTGAAGGAGTATACAAGCTGCTGAATCATGGGCTAGACTCACTGCTTTTCTATTTTGGCTTTGTTTCTGTTGAATAAATAATGACACGGTGGAACCTGTTTTGTACACTTAGGTTGGATTTGAATAATCTTGGAGCTTGGTAAAGACATTTTAACACGTTCAAATATGTGAAACCCTTTGAATATATCAAGGCTGGGCCTACACTGAAAAAATGATTTTTGGGTGTAGCAACATTTATTTAATTATTCTTTTAAAACGTACAAAAAATATCAAATTTTCTGAACTACTAGAATTTACTAAATAGACAATACACATTATATTATATATCAGTATTACTGTACAAAAAAAGTAAATGCTAATATTATTTTACCAGTAATATTTAAGTGTTTTTTCTGGACAGCACATAAACATGAATATATTAAGTAACTTCTACTCTTCTGGACTAAAACTGAGGGTGCATATGAGTTTCACTTTGTGTTGTTCATGAAGAAGAATCCAATAAAGGTTCTTCAAAACTGCCACCTGGTGGTGAAGTTTTGAACTACAACAAGAGCTACATCTCTCTGTAGCTGTGAGTTGTCATGCTACAATATTGTGCTCGACACATGTAC